GCACCATTCAGTAATACAGCCTTAACCATACCTCCTTGAACTACTTCATAACTTGTCAAGAAAAGCAGTTTGCAGCAAGGGCATGTGGTGTGCACCTAGTATTAAAATTGCTTTGTCTTAAAATTGAGCGTGAGGATATTAAAAATACATTGTGAAGAAGAGTGAAGATACTGCGGCTGAAAAGCACTAGTTTGATAAAAATTAAATGACCAAAACCCTCCAACTTTGAAGCTGAAGAAGGTAAACCTCTCCATTATTGCATTACAAGTTGTGGAATCTCTTGAGTGCATAGACTGTCTGGTTTTTATTTATCAGACTATTTCTACTGATGGAGTGCTTCGGAAGGGGGAGAGAAACAAATTTCCATTCTTCTAGGCTGCAATGGAACAACTTTAACAGGGTTTTGGCATTTCTTTTCCTTTATAAAACATGCTCAGCAAACTGCACCAGTTAACTACAGTTTGGTAAATTGTTATGTTAACAATTATGACATCTGCAGTGTTTTATAAAGCAACTAATTTAATAAAATCACTATTGTGAGGACTTAAATTTTGTGTTACCTCCCAAGAGATATTTTTGAAGAGTATAGAACACAGCTCTTGGGACTAGGGTTCTCTGTAAACTAAAGCTTAATAAATGCTTGACATAGTTAACAGCTTTAAAACAAGAATGATTTGCCAGGTCCTTAATAATGTCACCACAGAGCAACCAAGGTATAGAGCGGCCTTCCTCTTATTTATTTAGGGAAATTATTTTGTTTAGATACTAAGGCTTAAATAAGTACTTAGAAGAATTATTTATTTGGAGTAATTGAGCCTATATAACTCAGGTTACAGCCATAAGCATAGATTGGGGAATCTTTATTGTGTATCTTCTAAGTGATTTAAATTTGTAGTTAGAGTCTTCCTAATTGTCACAACCAGAACTAGGGACAGAACCAAAAATGTTTTTAATTTCTTTCATTTAGGATATAGGAACTTCAAAGTCCTATAGATTACTAAGTGGAAAATAGGTCCATCTAAATGATTTGAGGAATTAACAGAAAGCAGTGACTACAGAGCAATAATTTAAATATATTGTTTTTAGGCAGAAAGGGCTAAGATTTCCTTAGCAGTAATAATGACATACACTGAATTTTAAAATCTATTTTAATACAGAAAGATCAGTTTCTAACAAATGATAATGTTTCACCTGTTCCTTAATATAATGTGTAAATATATTAAATTTCTTTGAAACTAGAGTCTATAGGCACAGGTATTCTTTAGTCATTACTTTGTTATCTTAAAGTAGAAGCCATCCTGAGGAAGTTTTTGATCTTCATATTGAACGTAGGATAAATGAACAGTTACTTTAAAATAGGATTGGCTTTTGAAAAGTTTCTCATTCTTAAGGCACTACCCTCAAAGGAATAATAAAGAACAGTCTTTGAGTTTTTTCAACTTGGGCAACAAACATCCCCAATGTATTATTCTACGCTGATCATAGACATTTGCTAGAGAACCTCATATCAATACAAGAAAAGAGGCACCTATGAAATCATCTAACCTGCTAGCATGTCCTTTAGACAGCAACCTGTCTGAGGGTCTTTCAGAAGCACATTTACAATTTCATAAAATTTGTGTTCATATGCCAACTTGTAATACAGGTAGATATCTTCACAATATGTGAGTAATTTCTTCAGGTTTTCCATCACTATGTCAGTGGGTTGATGTTGTTTACATCTAGATAAAAGAAACATAATGCACAGGTTAAGATGCGGTGTTATTAGAGACAGGGTCTCATTGTTGCCTAGGCTGGAGTGCACAGGTATGATCATAGTTCACTACAGCCTCGCTCCTGGCTGGGCTCAAGCAATCCTTTCTTCAGCCTTTGAAGTAGTTGGGACTATAGATGTGTGCCACCATACATAGCTAAAACTGTGTTTTGGGTAAGAGCTATCAGCTCTGAACTCTGACCACTACCTATAGAGGAGACAGTGCTGGAGTCTGGGAGATCATTTCAGACTAGTACGGAGGATGCTTGATAAACACAAATGACTTCTTTATAATCATAGGTGACTTTTTAGTGTTTTGGGCATTGAGTCCCATTTTTAAGTACAAAGCACCATAAGCAAACGATATCTTTCATCTTTATGCAGTGTGTTAAAAGATCTCTTCTTTCTGGGAATTCTTTGTTGTACCTAGCCATAAAATTCTTTGACCTATTCTCAAGGCACAGGGAGGGAAAAATGCTTATAGTCAACTGCTAACATACTTACTTTTTGGAAATCTCTTCAAATATACTGGGCCTTAATAACCTTTGCTGCTTAAATTCTTCCATGTAATTAAAGTCTCCTTTAAGAATCACATGCTGGTATAGAATTTCAGCCCAATCTGGAACAAAATCATAGGCTTCAGCCACAATGGAAGCCTTAAAAGGATGGAAGTGAAGAAGGACACCATCAGAGCCCATTCAATGTAAAATCAAAGGCAAATTGTTCTAGAAAACAATACTGTACATTCATACAGTGGATATACGGTCATTATCAATCATGTTAAAAGGGTGTATCAGAGTTGGTGAAAAATCTGGTGTGTGGTTGGCATTCCCTCCCCTGAGCTCCCAAATGTCTTCAGAGTTTTTAGTCTTCCTCACAATGGATTAACACAACTGCTCAGAAGGAATAACATATGTATTATTCCCACTAACTCAGCTGTATAAGGAACAGTCTAAGAGCTAATTCCCTGATAATAGTTCTTCTTCATTAAAGGGCTAGAACCAATCTCCTGGCATCCCTGACTCCCTTTGCTAACCTGGGTGTACATTCAATGAACACGGGCTAAAGGATTTCTTGCAGGAGCCGTAGCAGGATGTTATTCTGAATTTCACCTTTCTAAGGAGTGTAAACATCTGCCTCTGCTGTCCTAATAGCATGGGAAAAGGAGACAATACTCTCTTATTCTCTAGCCTTTGCCCAAATAATACGCTAATGAGAAATACAAAATTGCCTCTTTTCATGGTATTATCATTCAGCTAAGTAAGGAGAACTGGACTATCCTAGTTCTGTCACTAGTCCTGAGGCCTTAGGCAAGTTACTCAATGTCTGGGTCCCCTGAGGATGCCAGCAGCTCTGGCTAGAGTTCTTTCTTAGTTACCTGGTAAAACCGAGGTAGGGTTACAATACAGTCCATCAGCTTGTGGCGGCCCAAGTTGATAAGCATTGTGTTCTGGCCAGTGTTCAGAAAGTGAATCTGTAGAGTTATCAACTTGGTGAGCCGGTGACAGTGCAAGGCCTGTCGCACACAGGAATCCTGGGGGACAGGTAGAGGGAGACACGAGGAGAAAGACTCAGTTGCCACCATCTCTTTTGTGAAGTCTGCAAGAACTTCTGCTCTTGGTTGGCTCATAATGCCTTTCCTCTTTACCTGGTGTCTACTGCAAATATACGCCAAGTTCTAAGGCCTATGTGGGGTAAAAACTCTCTTGGTTACCTTGGCATAACTTTCCGCTGCATCTAGCATCAGAGTCAGGGCCTTCAGCAGCAGCTGCTTCAGCTGGTACACATCCTTGAGGCTGTCTTCTGCAGGGGAATAAGACAGATTTGCTGAATCTTAACTCCCTGAATAGGCTGTTCTCACCCCACTGATGGTGACATTGGGCTGAATCCCAGCTACATTTACACCAGGCAGGTATATCTTCAGGTTTACCTTTAGGCTACTGGGGTCAGAAATGTATGCACTCTTAATATAACTTCACCTAAGTCCCCCTTCCATCTCCTGTCTGCCTCGTTAGGGACACCTCTAAGTGATATATTGACTTCAGCTTTTAATAGCCAGTCTCATGGGCTCTTAGTCCTAAGAACTTTCCTGGGCTGGCAGCATTGCCCTGGGGTTGCTCTGTGACCTCACTCACCCCAGGATTGAGACTCAATCAGTTTCAGTTGGATGCAGGCAGCTGCCTCATGGTTCTCGCCAATCTCCCGGCACATGCTAAAGCACAGGGCAATCATATTGTGCTTCTCACTGTCCCCAGGGTGGCAGCGTTTGATGTAATCCAACAGCGCTGTCTTCAGGGTACCACTCTGCCCAGGAAAAAAAAAAAGGAATGCCAAGGTCTCAATCAGAGACCAAGAGGCATGCAGGACTGGCTGAGTACTTTGGTTCTGAAAATTTCTTAAAGCTTCCAAGAAAAAGGAATAGATGAGCAAAAACAAAAATAAATACAAAAGTTTTATGCTATCCTTAATACAAGGAAATAAGTATGTCCTCATTGCTGTTGGGAGCGTGAACATTAAAGCCTTACAGAAGGAAAGGAGACACCTTAAAAATAGTTGATCGGAGGCTGGGTGCGATGGCTCATGTGTCTAATCCTAGCACTCTGGGAGGCTGAGGCAGGTGGATCGCTTGAGCTCAGGTTTGAGACTACCCTGAGCAAAGGTGAGATTTCAACTCCACTAAAAATAGAAAAATTAGCCAGGCATAGTGGCAGGCACCTGTAGTACCAGCTACTCCAGAGGGTGAGGCAAAGAGGATTGCTTGAGCCTGAGTTTAAGATTGCTATGACACCACAGCATTCTACCCAGGGTGACAGAGTGAGACTTTGTCTCAAAAAAAGGGTGATATGGCCGGGCAAAGTAGCTCACATCTGTAATCCTAGTACTCTGGAAGGCCTAGGCGGGTGGACTGCCTAGGCTCATGAGTTGGAGACCAGCCTAAGCAAGAGCAAGACCCCATATCTAACAAAGTAGCTGGGCACTGTGGCAGGCACCTGTAGTCCCAGCTACTTGAGAGGCTGAGGCCAAGAGAATCACTTGAGCCCAAGAGTTTGAGGTTGCTGTGAGCTATGATGCCACAGCACTCTACCAAGGGTGACAAAATGAGACTGTCTCAAAAAAAAAAAGTTGATCTGACAATCCCATTTTTTAGGAT